ACAAATAATGTATCCTGAGGCTGTCCACATCATTGCGGGGGACTTTAACCATGCCAACTTAAAGGTAGTGCTTCCCAGACTCTACCAGCATGTTAAATGTGCCACGAGGGGGGATAAAACACTGGACAAGGTCTACACTAATATTAAGGGGGACTACAGAGCTAAAGCGCTAGCGCAACTAGGCCAGTCAGATCATGTGTCCCTTCTCCTAATTCCGGCCTACTCCCCCATCAGGAAAAGTGTTTCCACCACTATAAAGACAATTACAACCTGGCCTTTAGACGCCACTCCACAGCTGCAAGACTGTTTTGAGAACACCGACTGGGGTTTTTTCGAACATGAGGACCTGGAACAGTACACATCAGCGGTCCTGGGATACATCAAGCACTGTTCAGACTCCGTCACTGTGGATAAGCGCATCCGGGTTCATCCCAACAAGAAGCTGTGGATGACTGGAGAAGTGCAGCGCCTGGTCAGGGAGAGGGACATTGCCTTCAGGACTGGTGAGAGGGAGCTGTACAGCACTGCCAGAGCCGACCTGAAGCGGGGGATCAAGCGGGCCAAGATGGACTACAAGGGGAAGATTGAGGACTGCTTCCGGGGCAACGACTCCAGGCGGGTGTGGCAGGGGGTCCAGCAAATGACCAACTACAAACCCAGCCACCCCTCGGCCGACGGGGGTGACCCTCAGCTGGCGGAGGAGCTGAACTCTTTCTACGCCCGCTACGAGACAGGGCTATCGGAAGCAGCCACACCATTACATCCACCTGCCCTCAGCAGCCTCACCCTCACGGAGCACGAGGTGAGATGCACACTGAAGGCAGTGAACCCGAGGAAAGCAGCGGGGCCGGACGGAGTCTTGGGACGGGTGCTGAGAGACTGCGCTGACCAGCTGATTCACCAAGATCTTCAACCAGTCCCTGTCCCAGGCCATCGTCCCATCCTGCCTGAAAACATCCACAATCATCCCGGTGCCGAAAAAGAACGACATCGGCTGCCTAAATGACTACCGTCCAGTGGCACTCACCTCCACCCCCGCTAAAGTTTTTGAGAAGGTGGTCCGTCCCCACATCGTCTCATCCCTCCTTCCCGGTCTGGACCCCCACCTGTTCGCCTATAGGGCCAACAGGTCCACGGAGGACGCCATCGCCACAGCTCTCCACTCTACCCTGTCTCATCTGGAGAGTAGGGGGAGCTATGCACGGATGCTCTTTGTGGACTTCAGCTCTGTATTTAACACCATCCTCCCTGACAGACTGGTGACCAAGCTATCAGTCCTGGGAGTATCCCATTCCTTGTGTCTATGGATTAAGGACTTCCTGTCTGATCGCCCCCAGAGAGTGAGGATTGGCACCCACACCTCCACGTCCCTCAGTCTCAGCACCGGATCACCACAGGGCTGCGTGCTGAGCCCCCTACTATACGCCCTCTACACCTATGATCTCGTCCCCGCCCACACCAGCAACTCCATCATAAAGTTAGCTGATGATACCACCGTGGTGGGCTGCATCTCAGGGGGTGACGAGACCGCGTACATGGAAGAGGTGGAGCAACTGCTAGCGTTGTGCAAAAAAAAACAACCTGCAGCTGAACAAGCTGAAAACCCAGGAAATTATCATTGACTTTAGGAGGAAGAAGACCGTCATGCAGCCCCTGTACATTGATGGAGGCTGTGTGGAGAGAGTCTCAGCATATTGTCTTGTTGTTTTTATATTGTCTTGCTGTTTTTATATTGTCTTGTTGTTTTTATATTGTCTTGTTGTTGCGTGTTGGCACCTTGAGTCTATTGTAATTTCGTTGTACCTGTACAATGACAAATAAAGATCTATCTATCTATCTATCTATCTATCTATCTATAAAATACTTCAGGTCCTCGTCACGGACCTGGCGGCAGGCAAAGTGTGCCTCCACGTGTGCGAACCACGCCGTAGCGGTATGTTCCCAAAACATCGCGATCAGCCATGTTCACTAAGTCTTCGGAATCTATCTCGAAAACGTCAGGGTCACCAGTGTAGAGCTTCACGGGACGCTCCGGAGGAAAGGACGTCCCATTGCTCTTAAAACTCATTTCCCTGCTTCTCGTGGTTTCCTTGCGGCTCTCCATGCTTCCCTGGTGGGAGGGACTAAACACAGGGAAACGACGCAAGTGAGGGACGCAAGGATTTAATTTAACAGAAGTGAGACGCAGCCAGTGTTGTGGTGCTGTTGCTTGGGTCTGGATCTGTGAGCTAACCATGCCCCGTTCATTTGAATATAAGAAATGGAAATATAATGTGGCATTATGGAATAAAAGTCCCCTGAAATAAATACATGTGGCATTATGAAATAAATAAATGTGTATTTAAATGTACATTCATATATGTATAATTGCCTTATTTATTTCAGAATGTATTTCATAACCTTATTTCATAGGCATATATTTATATGTATTTATTTAATTTTGGCTTAAACGGCATTCCATACAATAACCTCAGATCAGGTTAAGTAAAGGTACACCTTTATATGATCGTTATAGTTAATAAGAATAAGAGAATAAATGAAAAACAGGTATGAAATACTATATGACAGTAAAACAAGAATACAGTTTAAAAGGGGAGTGATTTGTAAAATATCCAAAAAGAAAATCTGTTTACAGTTCTGTTTCATATGGGTGTTGAGAGATGTATCCATAGATCTATTAATTTTCCTCTCAAAGTGCACCAGATTGATGCTTTTAACCTCAATATATATTTTTTTTAAAACCTGCCTGTTGTGTGATAGATCGGATGTGGATGTTTTCATATGGATGGGAGCATACTTGGTGCTCATGTGTCTGTTTGTTACATTTAATTCACCCGTTTTGACATTTGCTGTTAACACATTGCAAGTGTATTGCTGAAGATTGGTGCTTAATCCTCATTGGTGATTAGTGATTTAAACAAACAGCAGTCAGGCTGCAGATCATTGAACAGGAATCCCCAAAACGTTAAGAACAAGCTGCTCACAGACAGGGCGCCCTCTAGTGGCGCTGCCACTAGAGCATGTGCTCTAGTGGCAGCACATGCTCTACTGTAGAGCTATTTGTAAATAAAACAGTTTATGTGCTGTCAAAACCCTCCTATTGTCTTCGTTCCCCCCACCCTTACTTTGGTGTTCGCGGTCAAATTTGACCGGTCCTGTTTTAACTGCTATTACAAAAACCATTAATCATCACCACATTTCAATTAACACCCTTTCAAACTGTACATATTGTATCAGACTACTGGTATACATGAAAAACTGCAGTTAATATACAGAGAATATACATTGAACATGTATTGCGTGTGCCAGGTGTGATCCATATGGGGGGATGGGCACATAAGAGCGGGAAATGTGTCAAATTGTTCTGTGTGTGCCAGGTATGATTCACATGGGGGGATTGGGCACATAAGGGGGGGAACACATCTAGAGTGTGTGTGTGTGTGGGGGGGGGGGGGTGTTTGTTTGTTTGTGTGTGTTTTATCTGATCCGGATGGTTACTAATTCCTTTTCTTTATGGCGGTCATTTTTTACCGGGAACATCATGGGTGTTACAAAGTTGGCTAAATCATCCAAAATGCAATGAAAGTGGTGATCAGCAATTTATATGTTCAAATGTCTACTGTGAAGGATATCATAAAGCCTTAATGCAATCGAATGTAAAACAAAAAAGTTATGATTGATGAAAGTAGTAAATCGGTCAGATTTGACCCGAAGACAACAGGAGGGTTAAGTAGTAGCAGTGACTGGCCAGAAACTCATATTTAAGAATATGAGGGTTATTCAACTTGACAGTTTCTACTAAGAAATCATTTAATATAAACAAGTTCATGAACTTTGGAAATATGAAAACAGAGTTATCGTTACACAAGGTAAAAACTAGTTTGGACAGTAAATTCAATACAGACGACTTGTGTAACTTGCAAGAATGTGTATTGTAATTATATAAAATACAACAAACTTTATTGTTTGCATAGCCACGAAAAAAAAAGATGAGCTCATCCGAGATTCACATCACCCCACCTGTGCTGGGGAGCTCCCCAATGTCTCCATGCTCACCTACACCACCCAGTGTTCAGAATAATATTACAACAGATTGACAAATCATACATAGGCCTACAGATATGATGACTGCAACACTTACACTAGCAGGAGTTACCTAATGCGTCTTTATACAAAATGGAAGAACAGCAGTTACACAGTGGCGTCGCCTGGTCTGGGCATCTATGACTACCTCAAGATCAATAATTAGTATTTTTTTTAAATGTCAGGATCTATTCGTCTGTCATACCAAGCATATAGCTATCAGGAATAATATGACAGTACAAGTACTTTTGGATCTCTGTTTGTCATTCAAGTATTTGTGTGTGTGTGTGTGTGTGTGTGTGTGTGTGTGTGTGTGTGTGTGTGTGTGTGTGTGTGTGTGTGTGTGTGTGTGTGTGTGTGTGTGTGTGTGTGTGTGTGTGTGTGTGTGTGTGTGTGTGTGTGTGGCAGGAGCGCATTTTGTGTGAGTGAGTAAGTGAGAGAGAGTGTGAACCGGAGATAGAGTTTTAATTAATTATTTACATGTAATATTGTGTCTTCTTTGAATACTCTATTGATATATACTGGTTATATATATATGTATATATATATTAATTTTAACGTTCAATTGTCGGGCTAAGCCCCCGATGTAACTAGATCCAGGCAACGCCCCCGGGATTACGTAATCATAATACAAAGAAAAAAAAGATAACTGCATTTCCCTTACATTAACCTTAAAAATACATAATCAGAATACTGTTACATTTCTAAAACAGAAAAGGAATTACAGGTTTACAATGTTACAATACGTTTAAAAATAAAAAACAATATATTACAAAGCACTATAATTAAGTAATTTTAATGGTTTGCATTTTTAGCCCTCCTAACAATTAGAAGAAGAAAGAAAAAGGTGGCGTTCTAAACAACACAAACCGTATGAAAACAGAACCATGCGATTGGTTATTATAATGAGTACTTACAGAAATCCTCTTCGGCGAAGAAAAATGTTCAGTTGCTGTTGTAGTTCGTTCTTAGTGTCCCTATTGGACCTTGATGAGTTGACATGATGTTCCATCGAGTAACATCATGATGATCATGAGTCAGTGGGAAGGTCAGAGGATGATACACTTGTGTTTTTGTTTTAGTGCATTTATTTCTTGTTCTTGCTTTCTCTCCATGTCCTGTATTTGTTCTTTTAGACTTTTTTCTTTGTGTCTGGAAAGATCTTGTTGCAGATCGTACTCTTTGCCATGGCTCTCTCCTGTCTCTTCCATTTGTCTTTTATGCTTTTTCTTCAGGTCCTCGATTTCCTCCATGTGCTTCTCCAGCAAGGCTGTAAAGTCCTTGGTGTATTTCTGTTTGAACTCGTTGAATTCTTCAGCTTGTTTTCTGGCCTCCTCTTCAAATGTATTCTTCATCTCCTCCAGTTCTTTCTTATATTTCCCCTGTAATTCCTGTCTCTCCTTCTCCTGCTGTTCACTTCTCTTTAGATCTTCTTCTTTTCTTTTCTGTTCATGTTTCTCTATTTCCTGATCGTATTCTTCTTGCAACCTCTGAAGTCTTGTTTGCTCGTCTCGTCGTCTCTTTTCATTTTCTTGACGTTGTTTTCCCCACCATTCTTCTCTCTCCTTCTCCCAGTCTTCTTTTTGCTTTCTCATCTCTTCTTTTTTGTCCTCTAACTCTCCTTCAAGTTTTTGCTCCAATTCCTTTTGTTTCATTTCCTCCTGCCTTTTCTTCTCCATGTCCTCTTTTTTCCTCTGTTCCTCTTCTCTTCTTCTCTCCTCTTCTTCCTTGTTTATTTTATAGTGAAATTCTTCATGTTGTTTGGCTCTTTCCTTCTCAATTTCCTTCTTAATCTTTTGTTCATTATTTTGTTTTTCTTGCTCGTATTCTTCTTGCGACTTTTTCATTCTTGTTTGCTCCTCAAGTTGTCTCTTTTCATTTTCTTGGCGTTGTTTTCCCCACCATTCTTCTCTCTCCTTCTCCCAGTCTTCTTTGTGCTTTCTCATCTCTTCTTTACTCTGCTCCAACTCTCCTTCAAGTTTCTTCTCCCATTCCTTTCGTTGCAGTTCTTCCTGCCTTTTCTTCTCCATGTCCTCTTTTTTCCTCAGTTCCTCTTCCCTCCCTCTCTCCTCTCGTTCCTTGCTGATTTTTTCTTCCATTTCTTTAAGTTGTTGGGCTCTCTCCTGCTCAATTTCTTGTCTTCTTTTCAGTTCAAGTTGTTTTATTTCCTGATTGTATTCTTCTTGCGACCTCTGAAGTCTTGTTTGCTCGTCTCGTCGTCTCTTTTCATTTTCTTGACGTTGTTTTTCCCACAATTCTCCTCTCTCCTTCTCCCAGTCTTCTTTGTGCTTTCTCATCTTTTCTTTACTCTGCTCCAACTCTCCTTCAAGTTTCTCCTCCCATTCCCTTTTTGTAATTTCATCCTGCTTTTTCTTCTCCATGTCCTCTTTTATTCTCAGTTCCTCTTCCATCCTTCTCTCCTCTTGTTCCTTGTTCCTTTTTTCCTCCATCTCTTGAAGCTGTTTGGCTCTCTTCTGCTCAATCTCAGCTCTCTCCTGTTCCATTCTTCTCTTCACTTCTTCCATTTCCTCCTCGTGTTGTCTTTGCAGCTCCTCCCTCTGTCTCTGCATCTCTTCTTCCTTCTCCTTCAGGATCTTCTCCACTTCCTTCTGTATGGCGGCCTCGGCCTCTTGGAACATCTCTGACGTGTAACAGCTGCCGCCATTTTCCTTCAGCATTTTGTTGGACTTCTCCATCAGCTCTTTGACCTGCATGCGGTCTGTTTCATTGTTGTTATTGAAGACCTGGTATCTCCCTCCACAGTCAATGATCAGTTTCTTCAAAAAGCCACTAGACTTTTCTATGTAGGTCTGGATTGGTGTGTTTTTAAGATCATCTCCTCTGGTGAAAATAATGATGATGAAATCTCCAGATTTCTTGCCAAAATATTTCTTGATCAGTTCCACTGAGTCTTTTTCCTCTTGTGTAATTCGGCCGATCTGCAGCACCAGTAAGAACACATGAGGTCCAGGAGACATCATGCTGATGCATTTAACAAGCTCTCCTTGAACAGCCTCATTGGACAGTGTCGTGTCAAACAAGCCGGGGGTGTCCACCACAGCAACAGGTCTTCCACCAATCTCTCCTGATGCTTTTTCGCAAAACTGGGTCACTGACTCTGGGCTTGGAGTCGATGTAAAATGTTCTCTTCCCAAAATGGTGTTTCCAGTTGCACTCTTCCCACTGCCTGTCTTCCCAATCAGCACCATCCTGAGACACTCTCTGTTCTGACTTTCATCAACACCTCCCATCTCACTTTTCTTTTTAACGTCCTGCAGTTCAGCTTTAAGTTCTACCACTTTCTTCATCTGAGCCTTGGTGAACATCTTCATTGTGAAGCACCTGGATCCTTCCACTCTGATCTCTTCCACAGTATTCAACAGCTCTGGGATCTGCTGCTGGCCCTTGATGTTGAGAACAACATATCTTCCTCCACATCTCTGACGGAGCTCCTGGATGTCCTTGTTCTTCTTTAGAAAGTTAACAACAGCTGGAGCTGTGGGATCTGACTCCACAGTGGACAGAATCAAGGTGAAGTCGTTGACTTGAGAGCTAAATGTGTTCTGGATGGTCTCTAACTCTCTCTTGTCTTCATCAGTGAGGGGACCCACAGGTAGGACCAGGATGAAGGCATGGACGCCCTCAGGATCACAGAGGGAGACACACCTGATTGATTCCTCCATCACTTCCTCCTGAGATTTTCCACACAAAGCAGGCAGCTCCACCAGGGAAACCCGGCGTCCACACACCTCTCCCTGATGTTTAACACACTCTGAGGAGTTGGAGACTGAAGGAAACTCTGTCTGACCTAAAATGGCCTTGGCTGCTGAAGTCTTCCCTGATCCTCTCCTCCCACACAGAACCAGGTTTAAAGCGGCTTTGATGTCTTCAGTGAAGGTGAGAAACGTTTCTTTGTTTTCATGAACTATCTTCTCAATCTTATCCATCAATGAGTCACGGTTGTTTTCAACCATGTTGTAGAGTCTTTCTCCACAGTGTTCAAGCAGCTGATCCACTATTTCAGTATTATTGTCATTGTTGGTTATGATGACCATTGAGTGTTTAAAAGCTTCTGGACCAAACAGACTCAGGATGAACTTCAGTGTTTGTCTGTTCTCTTCAGTGAAATCAGAAGGCTTCACCATCAGCAGCAGGACATTGGGTCCAGGAAAACAAAGACTCACAACGCTCTTCACCTCTGTTCTCACTAACTCTTCTGATAGATGGAACAATTCTTTAGTTTTCACTACTTTCAACTGTTTTCCCTTCCACTCTCCATTGGTTGTCACAGAGTTTGTGAAATTTTGGAAAAGACCTTTGCCCTCTGTGATTAAGGAACTGATTCTATTTTTTTTTTTGTTCTTACCTTTTCCCAATAGCACAATCCTGAATTTAGATGCTGTAATATAACAGAAGAAAAATGTTATAACATTAACTCATACAGAAATCATTACACTGTGCTTACACAAAATATTCTCCAGTAATTTTGTAGATGAATGAAAACGTTAAATAAAACACGGTACGAAACAGAAAAACTGATTTTATCTTGATTTTATAAATGACCTTTTCTGTTTTTATTTTCTTGACAGTGAATATAAATGTTGTTTTCCTCAACATTGTTATGGAATTTTTAATATATCACTGTAACTACCAACTATAGATTATATGAAATTAGAAAAACAACTTCCTTATTTTGGGAGAGTTACATTGGTTGAAATGGATTTAGTGCATTTATCCAGTTGTGGGATGCGTTTCGGTTAATAATGGAGAAAAGATGATAACAATACATGATAAGCAATGAAATTATGAGAGTATTTATTTAAAAATACATTTACTTACCATTAGTCAAAGTGGTCAACCCTTGAATTGATTCAACACCACGCAGCCCTGTAAAAGAGGACATCATTATTTTGGAGCTTAATGTTCTAATTTAATCATGTATGATTTGAATAATGAGTTGTCATTGTCCTTCACCTACCAGCAGCTTGATCAGCTTCTTTGAGATGAATCCTTGTTTCCTTTGGTTTTTGACTTTGATGATCAACCGGTAAGGAAGACGTGCTGTCCTCGAACACATCACAGCTCACATACTCTCCATAGTTCTCCTTTTGACCAGTTTGACCCAAGCGTGTTAACAGCTCTGGATGATGAAGGTTCTCCCGCTTCAAGTATCTGTATCTACATTTTCTGATCATGTCTTGTAATGGGGGTTGTCCCATGTATTGTTCCATTAAACCTGAACCCTTCTCTCTGGATGGTGTTATGAGCATCAGTGAATGATTAAATGACTGATCACTGAAGCGTTCCAGGACTGTGCAGAGTCTCTGTTTGTGTTCCTCAGTGAAGTCTTCAGGCTGTAGAACCAGCAGGAACACATGAGGTCCAGGATCAGAGAACCTCACACACTCTTTCAGATGTTTTGTCAGTTTGTGTTCATAGATGTTGGCGCGCAGCAGATCTGGGGTGTTGATCACAACTACTCTTTTCCCCTCCAGCTGTCCACTGACTCTCAGACAGTGGTCTGGTTCTTCCTCACTGTTGAACACAGTCTCTCCCAATATGAAGTTCCCCACTGAACTCCTCTCAGACCAGCTGTTCCCCAGCAGAACAACCCTCAGCTCAGACACTGTGAAATACAAAGAGTTAGTAAAGGCAACTACATGCAGATTTTCATGTATTTATTTATAGTGTGATTGCTGTTTAACCTAAGGGGTTTAGTCATTACAGCAGATTGTACCTACAAAATACTGAACACTCAGGTGTTCTTAATAGCAGAATACCACAGTTCAGTTTTACTTACTGTCAGGTGGCAGCAACTCATAGCTACTACTGCGGTTTAGAGGATATGGTTGATCTGTTATTGGAAAGAATTGTATTATTAATTACATGTAATTTAAAATAGACAGTACAGTGGTCTACAACATAAAAAAAAGAGACGAAATCCAGAAAGTGACCCTAGGAGAGCCAGGCAGCTGCATTTCTTTATTAAAACACCACACTTGTTTTTGTTTTATCTGCTCCCAAAATACAAGTCAATACTAGCATTTTAAACTTGTGATTAATCATGATAATTAAAGAATTAAAAAATGTTGTGACACCACTAATTAATATTAATGGACAGAGACAGTCTTTTATCCAGAGTAGACCTGACTGGACTCACCTTCTGCAGTCGCCATACTGCGCTCTTCTGAAAACAGCTTTCCTGAGCATGAGAAGCTAAAGGGAGAAGAATTACATTTGAGGTAATAGGACAGAAAATCGGTTCAGTTCATTTAATCTCTGCCTGATACTAAATACTGCAGCCCAGAGATGGGGACTCGAGTTTGTGACTCGGACTCGAGTCGCACTTAAGCCCCGGCCACACGAGGACGAAAACGGCTAAACGCATAGGATTAACGCAAACGCAATCGCAAAAAAGCTTCCGTCCACACGCAATAGTCATCCGGATAGTGTCTGTCCACACGAGACAGCTCCGTTTAGCTCCAACCGCTGGAGAAGCTGCAGTACATATGCAGGAGCCTGTACGTGGCGCTGTAACTTCCTCCACAAAAGCAGCGAAGAAGCATGGTTGTCATGGTTGCCCTTCTGTTTATTCTCCGTGGTGGGGGCCGAGGGAACCGGGCAGAGTTTTTTGCCAGTCAACGTGTATTAAAGTTTAAATCTTCCGACAAAATTATAAAAGTGCCGGTCAAAGGTCTTCTTTGTTATTTATTGAGCTTTAAAACAAATGAATAACGACTCTATATAATATAATAATAAAATACACGGAGCCTCTCTTTTTCCTCCCTCTCTTCGGACAGCGCCAGTGTCTGTCTCATGCAGCAGCTGATCCAGTAATGAGTGACCCGGCCGACAGTAAAAAATAAACATATTTATAACTAGTTTAGGTAGTTTGAGAGGTGTCTCCGTCCTGTCAGATTAGACTTCACTCGCGTTTATGTCCATATCGAGAGAAAGATAAATAATCTGAATTCAGTGTGCAGTTTACTTTGACCCGGGGTGAGCAGCAGAGGTGGGGAGAGGCGGGGCTATTGCCTCATCATTATCAGAAAATGATCGTATAGGGCGTACACACGGAGCCGTTGGACCCCCCAGAGCGTTGTGTATGCCGTTCTATCCACCTTGGGACCCGTTATCGTTTCCGCAGTCGTTTAGTGCCGTATTCGGTCGTCCTCGTGTGGCCAAACGGTCTATATGACACTAAACAGTAACGCAAACGACCGTTTTCGTCCTCGTGTGGCCGGGGCATTAAGTCGCACACACAGAGACTTCAGACTTGACTTGGACTCCTGCTCAAAAGACTTCGGACTCGACTTGGACTCGTGTTTTGGGACTCGTGAACAATCATTGTGTTTTCTATTTTTGGCGTATTAAAGGTGGGGTAGGTAAGTTTGAGAAACCGGCTCGAGATCGCTAGAATTTGAAAATACACAACCGGAGAAAATCTGCCACTTCCTCACAGAGCCCCTCCTCCAACACACACGAACGCGCACATGACCAATGAGGGCACGAGATAAGTTTGTGCCCCGATGGAAGGCTGACAGGCAGGTAGGCCATCCAGTTATTTTAGTCGGGCCGGCTATCGGGATGTTAAGAGCATTCCATGGAGTATAACAAAAAGTGTATCTCGAGCCGGTTTCTCAAACTTACCTACCCCACCTTTAACATTAACATCATGGTAACACCATGGCGACCGGCGGGACACCTGCAGCTGTACCGCTTGTAATTAGGTTAAACTATAACAACTTCGAACAAAACGCCGGCGGCACCAACAAAAGGAGCGCACACTGCAAAGTCTGCAATATTAAAATCAAGGATGCTGGTGCAACAACGTCAAATTTCATCAGGCACTTGAAAACTCACCCGGAGAGGTCAGTCACATTCACGCATATGGACGGTTAGCAAACATGTTTAGCTCAGCATCAGCTATGTAATGTTAACTTAGCTTGCTACTAGCTTTGTAACTGAATATTTGAAAAGATGAGTGAATGTTTGCTTGTCACACTTGTTTGCGTTGAGTGGCGTTGACATCCAACTCTTGACATGACATAAAAAAGGTCGGTAACGTTAATCATTACGTTCCGCTGCCACCATCTACTGGCTAACGTTAAACGTAGAAAAATACATAGTTACATACATAAATACATCTGTCGGTTTATAGGCAGGTTACAGGTTTATTGTTGACCACGTAACGTTAATGTTACAGGTTTATCAGGTTACCATTACACTGGGTTTGAGTGAGAGGATAGAGGAATATGTTTATTTATAGTAGACTTAAAAAATGTCATTAGAGACCCAGTGTAATTAAACAATACGGTTGCAGAGGTCACATTTTAACATTTTTGTCCACTGGCCAAATGGCTAGCCTAGTGAATGTTGAAATGTTACCAGCCACTCAATAGATTGCCATTGTTATTTTTGGCTGATGCGTGCAACATACAGTACCAGCCACTTGCATGATTTACCAGCATTTGGCTGGTAAATGGTGTTAATGGTAGATATCTCTTTTGGAACAGGTCATGTTTTAATATCACCAGTTCAGTATATTTCAGATAATATTGCAGCAATAGTTTTTTAGTTGCAAATGGCACAGTACTTTTAACACAGTTTCCCTGCGGGGATTAATAAAGTATTTGTGATACTGATTTCTGATTCTGAAGTATTTTGCTTATAAGTTGTTTGCATTTAGCTAAAGTGTGATGTTTTTCCTCATATTGCATTGCAATAGCCTGTTTAAAGTGATCATATAACAAACAACTAATCAGTACTGATACTGTATGCTAATAGATATAGGAGTGATAATAATACAGTAAATGCTTTGAATTTCTTAGATATAGCTGTGCAGTATTCTTAACAGACTGGATAGCAGCAGACAATAGAAGGCTTATTACAACCAGAAGAGACATTGTAGAGGAAACTTCTGTGTAGCATGCAATGGAGTCACCGACTCAGGAAGGAGACACGGGAAGAGTCGGAGCTTTGATGTCAAACCACTGTGATTTATTTGGAGTTGGTACCAGAGTATTCACATCACAAATCCAAGAGTCAGAGGTTCTGACTTCACGGTAGAGTTGCCACGTCAATTCTGGAGAGCCTCTCTCTTGCCAGCCTATCTAACTGGTTTCGCAGAGAGTAAACAACATATTTGAGAAGATAGCCTAAACAGTGTGGGAACACTGAGCTACTTGCGTCGGACACTTATGACCTCGAAGATTTTACCTTGGAGTCCACAAATACAGAGAAGGAAGTGTCCCAGTGTACCCACAACACAGACCATCTGTATCCCAGTATTGACCGGTCACAGAATGGGAACAATAACATTATTGGCTAAGCCGCCTGTGTCCTTAAAGAAGGTAAACAGACATCAAGGTTTGTCCTGTATGTTACAAATTGGCATCTATGATAATTATTTCCATAACAGACATGATACTTTTATTTTTTAGAGACTTGAGACTTGACTTGGACTCATGACCAAAGACTTGAGACTTGACTTGGACTTGCAAAAAAAGACTTGTGAACATCTCTGCCGCAGCCCCAACATGACTCCTACATTCGGTTTTAGAAATATCCATAGTCTAGATATAAGTACCACACACACACACACACACACACACACACACACACACACACACACACACACACACACACACACACACACACACACACACACATATATTGTGACGACCCCTCCACACCACTAGGGGTTCTGTTCTGGCTCTGTGTTCCCTGTCCGGCTTAAAGACAGCCCATCGAGTTTCGGAGGGCGCTCTCATTCCTCTCGCACACTCCCCTTGTGAGCCTCGCGCCGCGGCTGTCTATTTTGGTATTGCTATTAATAAATAATTGTTGTATTTTCATACCCCTCGTCTCGACTCCCAGCTTTTTGTTACAGGCCAAGAGCCGGGTTGTAACAATATAAAACCAGTCTTATCAGGTCTTTGATGTTGGCTTTTGTGTGTTGAAAAAAGGCAGTATTGGGACGCTTCATCTTTATATTTCTTATGAAATTAAGATTATTATTATTTACATAAAACAATAAAACGTTTTATAAAGTAAATAAAAAACTACAATAAACACTTATATAATAATATTGATAATATCACATAATACATTTAAATATCATAAACATGGAATACTTTCAACCAGTATAAAAGACTGAAAATCACAGTATAAATCACACTCATCATCTTAAAAACACATTGACATACAAATGCTGTAATGTTGACATAGCAGCAATTATTATAATGATATTAATAATTATCCGTATTATTATTATCTTTATATGCCGTGGTTTTGGCACTGTACAGTATGTTTTGTAATAAACTTAACACAAAAAGTAAGGAAATGTATGTTTGGTAGATGATTTATTTGTTGTAGCAATGTTTCTTGGCAATACATCTTATACCGTTGAAAGGCCTGTTTTCTTACCTTTCCAATGGTGTCACATTTGTCAGGAACAAGCATTTGTGGGATGAGCAGCAGAGCTGAGTATGTGGGGTACACCCATGAAAATGTGACAAATCTCCTCTGCCAATGCCAAACAGCTTTTTTTGCTGCTGACTCTAGTTTGGTGTTGTTTGGTGGATTGGATGATTGAAGTCTGATAAATAAAGACATATTGGCAACAATTGAATTATTAACAAGCAGCCTCAGTAGCGTGTGGAAGAACCAAACACAGCCACAACAGCCTCTCCTCCTCATGCTGTCACCAGTCTGCTCACACTGTGATGTGGGATGGCCTCCCATTCTTCAACCAGCATTTGTCCCAAGTCAGCCAACGTGGTTATGTTGGTCACTCTGGCACAGACAGCAGGGCCAAGTTGATCCCACAAGTGTTCAATGGGGTTTAGGTCAGGACTGCAGGCAGGCCATCCCATCATCTCCTCTCCTACTCTATCAGAAACGCGTTCTCCACACTGTGACCCTACAATCCATGTGGTGTAGGCAGAATCTGGACTCATCGCTGAACATAATGTTCCTCCACATGTTGAGGTTCCAGTGCTCTGAACATAATGTTCCTCCACATGTTGAGGTTCCAGTGCTCTGAACATAATGATCCTCCACATGTTGAGGTTCCAGTGCTCTGAACATAATGTTCCTCCACATGTTGAGGTTCCAGTGCTCTGAACATGATGTTCCTCCACATGTTGAGGTTCCAGTGCTCTGAACATAATGTTCCTCCACATGTTGAGGTTCCAGTGCTCTGAACATAATGT